GTCTGTCGGGACCAGCCGGAGCTTCTGTTCCCCAGAGACGTGCAAAGGGAATAATGTGAGCACAGGCTGAGGGACGGGGCGGAACCTGCTCCAGAATGCTGAGAAGGGAAGTGCCTGTGCCACAGAGGTGTGGGGGGAGCCAAAGGCAGTGCTGGAGTTTGTTTAGAACTCTCTTAAGTGCCTCAGCATCGCTTTGTAAGTCACCTCCTGCCATTTCCCAAGTACTCGAGTCAGTTGTTGCAAACTTACAAGTGTATTTACTTACACAAATATTTTACAATGCTTAAAAATAAACCCTGAGAAATATACTCTGAGCATTATCCTTCAACAGAAGCTGGTGCCTGCCCCCCTAAACCATGTGCCATGGCTGGCCTTGTCCTGCCTGACACAGCCTTGCACTGCTCTCCCCTGGGGTGGCATTTGACAGACACACAGTCTTGGTGGAGGAGAGGATGCAGTGAAGAGCAGCCCTGCAGTTTCTTCTGGCATCAGCCTAATCACCCAGTCCAGCCTCCTTTTTTCTGCTAGGAACAAAAACAAGGAAGGGTCAGACTTAGGGGAAAAAAAAAAGCAAGCAAGAAGACCCCATCACTATGTCACTTGGTGAATAAGGGGCTCAGATACACAGGTTTTGAGATACATGGTCACAAATGGGATGAGTTTGGTTTTTCTGTTGCACAGACCTCCAAACCAGCTAAGCTTTTGTGTGAGCTGCAGCATCTGCCATGGCAGGAAGGTGTTAGAGGTGTTAGAGATGAAGTTCCACCACAAACAGGGGACACCCAGCCTGTCTCCGCACAGGGCTACCCCATGGCCTGGCCATGCTGTGCAACTGCCACAAGTAGTAGAGCAGAGAAAGGCCCTTCTTCCACTTCTGGCTGCACAAGCCAAAGAATAGAGGAGCTGAGCAGTGCACAGTGAGGTGCACCATGTGCATGTCCTAAGGAATCTGCCCCAGTCAGTGTAAGGAATCCCTCATTACTGCCAACACAACCTTCACTCCTCCTTGGCCATCAGGACCCCTCAGCTCTGGGTCTTGACATGCTTCATTCATCCCCGAGCAGCTCTTGAGGCAGGGCTCTCTGGTACCTGGTACTGGTGTAGGTCTGAGAACCCAACAACGCTCTTGTGAATGGTGCTGAAGAGGCAGCATAGCCACGACACAAAGGAGCTCCTACACCTCGGTGGACTTGCTATGGATTTACACCGATCAGAGCAGCCACTGGCCGACATTATGTAAGAGTGGGGGGTCTGGCCCTCCCCTGCTCTCCGGGGGCAGAAGCCAGCTCCCCGCAGGGTATTTCTGTCCCCTCGTGTCACACCTGTAGGCGTTGGCGCTTATTGCAGGCACCGGAAACACACCAAATCCCCAACGACCTTCCCGCGGCGCCCTGCAGAGAGGTGTGTGAGCTGCCACCACCAGAAATCACCCTCTGTGGAGCAGCATGTGTCCTGATGTCATCTCAGCTCACCTGGTTACCCAGCCTGTCCCTTTAATGCCATTACTGAAGATCATTACATGAGCAGATCCCTTTGGGGAGGCAGCTGCCCACACACCCACCTTTGTGCCCCAGAAGACACGACCTCCAGCGGTGAACACAGCTGCTTCCGAATGTATTCCCTCGATCTAATGTCAGCCTGGAATTCAGGAGGAAAAGGAGTGAAAATGGATTGATCAGCCTGCTCAGGGCCTCCCCTTTGTCCTCTCAGTATGCCCACCCTATCACAAATAGCTCTTGTACAACTGTGGTGCAGAGAGGAACCTGCATGTTTCTTTCCTTGCCTGGTTTCTGTGCCTCACTGCAAGCTGCCTGGGAGAATGGAGACTTGAAATAGAGAGCCCTGGACCAAAAGTGATACTGCAGTTACGGTCCGTTTCAGAAACAGAAATGACATCTGCTGAACACTTGCTCTCTGCTCCTTTGCTCCTCACAGGAGTAAGGGGGTGGGTGAGACATTGGGCTCAGACAGTTCCTGCCAGCAGCTGTCTAAGGTCTGCTCCACCATGACCTATCCCAAGCACAGCAGGATAAACAGCCAAAACAGGACCCAGCCTGGGCTTCCCCAGCAAATCAGCTGCTGCTGAGTGCCATCAGCCTTCCCCGAGGGTCCCTCTGGGACCCAGAGGATGAACCAGCACAGGCTTCCAGCACACACTGCAGCGCGGTGAGCCTTTGTGCTGTACCTGAACTGCAGCCCTCTCTGATGAACCCTGGCAACAGAGCCAGACTGGAGGAGATCTGGGAGTCTGAGAGTGGTCCAGTGCATCCATCCTTTGAACTGACCCAAATGACCCCTTCCACACGTAAGCACCTCCAAGTGCAATGCAGGGAAACGTAATGAGCAGCAAAGCTCCTTCACAGGCCTTCGCCATCGCTGTCTGATCAGAGATGGAATAGACTTGTTAGAGACTTGAGGGCAGGATAAATCTTCCTTCCCTCAAGAGGAGACATTCCTGAAAGTAAACCAGCTCTCCCGTTGAACCCACAGAAGCTGCTCTGCCACCCTCACTCCATCAAGGGATCACATGCCCTGATCACTTGGGAGTACAGCAATCCAGAAGGCAAGTTCTCAAGAGGACATGGGATGAAGAGAGAGAAGCTGGCACCACCCATTCGTGTACCCATCCCTTTCCTTCCTCTGTTCCAGCAGTTGTGTTGTGCAGCAACAGATGGAGAAGCTCACCACTCGTCTGCTGCATCTCCTGTTCCTAGGCAAAGCTTGGCTCATCCTGCCTGTGCGCCCGAGGGGCTGGCACTGCACGGGGATTGTGCAGCTAAAGCAGGTAAAACACCCACTGCAAGCAAACAGAGACAAGACACAAGCACATCCCTGGCAGCAGCTGCAAGGCAAGAGATTGACACACCTCTCACACTGTCCTAACTCAGGAGTCCAAGAGAAAGCTGCCAACGGGAGCAGTTTACACATAAGCCATATACCCATGCTCTGGGCTCTGCTTTCCTGTACCGAAATCAAAAGGAGTAATGTTGAGACTCTACCAAACTCCTGTTTACTGCCCTCCCTGTTGAAACTGAGCTTGGAACCACCACCAAACCTCATCAAACCCATCCTCACACAAGTGTCCTTCTTCTGACACGCTCTCCTGTGACTCCTGAGCTCACCAGGAGAACTAGATGGCTGTGTCTTAGCACTCTGTGTCTCAGCAGCAATGCAGGACAGCACGTGGGCAGAGTGGAACAAGGACAGCACCAACAGAAATCCCAAGAGCTGTAAGAAAGTGCTGCTGGACATTTACAGGATGTTCTTGCTCCCAGAAGTGTTACCAGGGGACTCCAAGATGCTCACAAGCACATGGATCCTGGGCTCTGGAGAACTTTGGGAATTGGCAGTTGATTTTTACATTCCCTCAAAGATTTTTGTCTTATTTAGGAACTTCCTTTCTCAAAACCACTGCTGCTGCTCTGTGGCATCTAGAACTGCTGCTGAGCCCCTCCTCAAAGGCAGAGTGTCTCTCTGCACTTAAAAAGCAGTATGTGACCTTTCCCAGCTGGAAAAGCTTCACAGCACATGATGATCACGCTAATAAAGTGGCTTAATGCATCCCCAGTGGCTGTCCTTGAAGCATTTGTTACTCCCATCCCTGTGCTACTTCTGAAGAGTCTCTTCCCCCCCTCAAGAAGCTCCCCAGCACCGCTCTGTCAGGCCTCTGGGGTGGTGGCTCTGTGGGCTCAGGGCTGGAAACGCTCATCCACCACTGCTTAACCATCTGCAAGCCTGAGAATGAAACACAGTTACATAAGGGATGGTTTGTTTGGGAGATTTTTTTCCTTCTCTCTATAATTGGACAGTTTCATAACTGAACTGACAAATAACTTTGATCACTCTTCAGGATAAGAGATTACGTGATGTATTTTATAACAGGGAAGGAGGTTGTTCAATAAAGCCCCTACTGGGAGACCAAGGTAGCAAGAGTCACAGCTACAAACCATTTTTCTAGGGAAGAAAAGCCCAGCCACGTTGTGCTGGTCACAGAAGCCAGTGCTTGATTAGATGGCAAGTTCCTGGCCAGTCCTCACTCCTAACACAGTGCTGAGGCACAGCTTAACCCAGCGATTAACCAGGAGGCTCATCAATAAGATGGATAACTGTCCAGAAATAATCCTCACAGGCTGTTTCTATTTTCAGAAGGGACTAGGGCTGGCATTAGGGTCTGGAATTGTTGCTTTGCCTGTTTTGGGGTGGGGTGGGGTGGTCCCTGTGCACACAGCAAGCTGTTGGGGGGTACATCTGAAGAGAGTTGGAGTTTCAGGGTATCAGTTACTGATTTCCCTGCTGGGCAGCAGGAGCTCTTCACATGGAGGAGAGGGATGATGCCTCATTCCTTGGTTCTCCTAAGGGCATGTGTTAACATTTCACATGAAGTGCCATATCCGCAGCTCTGGGCAGGCTCCTGCCCTCCCTGGTGGGCTGGAGCAACCAGACTGTCCCACCAGCCCCATCCTGAGCCAGCAGGGGCAAGGTGCCAGCCAGCTGGAGCTGAAAGGATCATCAAGTGAGCTGGAGGCTGGTGTGCAGCCAGCCAGGAACCTGGAGCAGGGAGAGCCAGTCCCAGAGCAATCCTCTCAGCTGGAGAGTGTTAAAAGCTGCTGTTTCCCTGCTGTGTGTAGTGATCCTGGCTCTGAGCAGGCCCAAGCATGGGCAAGCACTGGGCAGGGGCTCTGACCTCTGCCAGAAGCGGTCAAGGGCAGTTGCTCGCAGGAGGTCTCAGTATTGTTCCAGTGCCCCTCAGACCGAGTGCTTTGCTTCTTGTGCTGGATGACAGCTCCTGCCTACCTCAATCCCTGTCTGCGTGTCTCCACATGACCAACCCTCTGCAGAAGAACCTCAACATCTCACAGGAGATCACGCCCCATGCAAGCCTGGCACTTCCACATGGAATAAGGACTAAGTGGAAGGTAAATACTGCCTGTAGGTGATAATGAATTTCCCTCTGCTTTCTCGGAAAGATCACTTCTCTCACCTTTGGCAGCACGGCCACAGTGCTGAATGCAAATCAAACAATTTCTGATCACTGCCTGGAGACTGCTGCATGCCCAGGAAGCACAATACGCCCTGTACAGACTGGCCTGCCATACTTCTAGGGAAGCAGAAGATTTGAGTTCCCACAACAGCTTCCAGCACTACACGTGCTGTAGCATACAAGCCATAAGCACAGCCTCAAGAAGGTATAAGCAGCACAGCTCTCTTAAGAACATAACTGCAGGGCAACCAGAACTTACAAACTAAGAGCTGATGATCCAGAAGTCTTTCATGACACTGGGAAAGCTGTGAGCACATCACCCTCAGGTCTGCAAGCTTGTGTTGGGACACACCAGAGCAAAGGGCCAAGGCAGGATTCCCCACAGCCATACACTTCCTAAATCCAGCCTGAGATGCTCCAGAGCTGAGGCTTCCAGCACTGCCCTGTGTCAAGATCTGTAACAGTTACCACACAGAGGAATCCCAACAGTGAGAAGTCCCATTTTAAGTGCCCTTATCTTCTGCCATCCCTCTACCTCTACAGTAACCACCTTCCCTTCTGGATTTTTAATCTCTCTGTAAAGAAAGTGACAATTCATTCCATCACTCCAAATCAAGGTTGCAGCTAGAGAAGAGTCTCAGAACACAGACAAATCCTGGAGATAGCTGGAAATGAGATGAGGGCGATGAAAAGCTCCAAGACACCTTTTTGTTTCCGAAGGGAATGCCTTTCCCCTTCCCTCGGAGCACGCTGCTCTGCAGAGCTGGCTCAGAGCTGGCTCAGAGCTCTGCAGAGGCATCTGTCCCTTGCTGGAGGAGATTACATAAGAAAATCTCTCAGCCTACTCCCGTCTGGCAGGTAGTGGTTTATGAGATTAGAAACCCCCGTTCTGGTATGGACACTTCAAGGTTTGTTTTGCTCTGAGGTGTTAGATTTTCGTCTGGTTTATAACTGCAGACTCAAGACTCTGTTTTCAGAAAACATGTACTGCAGCACCAACGAGAAGCTCCTGGGTGCAGAGACTGCGTAACAGCCTCGGGAGCATCACCTTAGCACGGCTCTGAGGAGCTGCAGAGCAAAGGTGGCCACACACCTGACAAGTGTGGTGGTGCAGCAACGTGAGCAGTGTGTTCCAGGGCAACAGCACCACCACAGACATCCCAACAGGCCCTGCTGCCAGGGCAGCCCTGCTGCCAGGGCAGCCCTGCTCTGGCCTGCCTGAGCCACTACCGGCGGGGTGACCCTGCGAGATGGGAAGCACTCGCCAGGCTGGAAGTCCCAGAGGCTTTACGCTTCCCCAGATCCTTTCCTCAAACCCTGCTGTGATTTAATTAGTCTGAAGCTGAGCCTCGGCGGTAGCTGCGGCTCACTGACAGCGGGCCAGTGCTGTCACCTACAGGCTGGCTGCTGCCCCGGAGCCTGCAGCTCCTTGTGGAGTGCAGCAGCAGGGAAAAGCCCGGAGGAGCAGCACTGCAGTCTGTGTTAGGCTCAGAGTACCCAGGAAAACTGCATTTCCAGCTCCTGTGTATTAACATCAGCATCACAGAAATTGCCTGCAGAGAGGAACCGAGAAATCAGTCAGGCTGGGTCTGCAGTAAGGGCTGGGAGTGCTTCTGGGCACTGCGACACCACGGCCGGCTGGGAGGACAGACCGGCACGGAGGGTGCCAGCTGCAGAGTGGCAAACTGAGGCTCCGAAACGTCAGCACAGGCTTGGCACCCACAGCCCCTCCATGGCCTGCTCCCCCGCTCCCGTACCTGGCGGATGGGCTCCGGGATGCGGTAGCGGCAGCAGGAGTGGACCAGGCGCACGGCTGTCCCCAGGCACACCCTGTGCCCCACCGAGATGTACAGCGGCTTAGAGCTGTTGGTGCAGCTGCGCAGGACCTGTGCACGCAAAGAAACACCCAACGCTTAAGCAGCTTATTTTAGCACATACAGAGCGGCAAATGAATTATAAGCCAGCTGCCAAATACAGAGCCACCATCCCATCTTCTGAAGGCAGCTCCCAGCTTTCCTGAACCTCTTCTGCTGCCCAGGATCTCCTCACAGGGACTGTTTGCCCTTTCGGACCGCTGTGGCCCTATTCCAGATGCCTCACGCTGCTCTGGGAAGCAGAGCTGCTAACGCAGACACAGGAAGATTCTTACATCTGTCTCTTTCCTGCACAGGGCTCTTCTGAGGCAGATGCTCCCATATTGCACCCTGGTGAGGTGCTGCAGAGCTGGCACCTCTCCTTGACTCCAGTTCATGGACAGGGGTGCTGGAGCATGGCACCTCAGATGCCACAGCCATGGACGTGAATACATCCAACACCTCGACTGTCAACTCTGCAAGTGTCTGAGCTCACAGAAAGGGGGACACGGTGTTGGTAGTCACCTGTTCACACTGAGACAGTCCCACTGTAGAGACAACACCCTCCAGTGCTCAGCTACACAAAGCTGGAAGACTTGATGGCCAAACAAATAGGAAACTCCCCACTGCTTACCATGCCCAGGAGTCTCCCCGAAGTGCCTGTTAGTGGGAATGTATCTCCTCCCCTCTGCAGGGAACGGATCTAGGGATAAACACACACAAGCTCAGCTGGTCAGGAAGTGCTTGTATGCTGCTGTCCCAATTCTCTTGGGATATTAAGGAGTGGAAATAAATTCCCAGCCTGGCCTCACCTGCTCTCTGTGCAGCTCATCCCTGACCAAGCCATCCACCTGCAGGAGGTTCTTGGCCACTCCAATGCACGGTAGATCCGTCAGGACTCCGAGGTGACAGGCCACACCAAACCCTGCCAACAATGAGTCACTGTAACCACAGGATGCCAGAGAACTGGAATCTCAAGCAGCAGCATGGGGACCCTGCAGAGCAGGGCTCTCCAGTGAAGTCCTACCTCTGGGATGGAGCAGGCCATTCCCATCTACAAGAAGTACCTGAAAAAGCCAAAAAAGAAATGTTGTTTCCTGTGCACTGAGCACCACTCCAACAAGCAAACTGGCTCTGTCAGGAAGGAGAAGGCTCTCTCAGTTCTTTTACTTCTCTCTGTAAGAGTCTTCCTGTGGCACCGTCTACACCTGACTCAAAATGATGGGCAGCGTGAGCTCACTAGAGCTGCACGCAGAATGGGACTCCTGTTGCAAGGGAGGCCTGTCTGTTCCCAGCTTAGCACCCCTGCTCCCTATGGGAAGGGCAGCAGATGCTTCACTATGACTGTGACACTGCACTTTCTGCCCTGCCAGTGGGAAACAGCCGGGCAGTGTGGTCCCGGAGAGGGATGAACACCTTTCAGCAGAACTCTGTGCCCCCAGGACATCTCAGCTTGGGACAGAGAAACGTGCCACACCTGAGGCTTGAGCTTGGGTTCTCTGAACAGCTTCCACCAGGAAAGGGACCTCCCGGAAGGCCAAGAATCCTGCCACGTACGGGGCACTCACTGCCACCATCCGGCAATCCTCGTACAGCACCTGGGAGCAGAGACAGTGACCACCAGGACCTTGCTGGTCTGTTCCTGACTGCTGCAGAGGCATCTCCTCTGGTTTACATCCCTTAGACTCATCTCTTTACAATACTCTGCTCCTGCCTCCCTCCCACAAAGCGGAGGCCACTGGGTCGTGTCAGTCTGTCAGTGACAGAAGGTGGACAACGGACCGCTGAGAGAAGAGGGCTGGACACCACCATACCCTGCTTGAGGGCAAAGGCCCTGGGAAAAAATGAGGGCAGCTACTCGACCTGATGGCGGGGGGAGCGCAACGTTCACCCACTCAGGGCATCATCACAGGGTGTCTGGCTCCGTGCAGGGACAGGCCCAAAGAATCCCTGTCAGCCCAGACAAAACCCTCAAGTGTGCAGGGCAAGGCAAGAAGCAAGGCAGGATTTGAAATTCGGTTCATAAATACCACCGTGGCCAGCATCAAACTTTATTTCTCTGCTTGTTATAGGTTTTATAGTTAATTTTTATATCGTATTGAAAGCTGGGAAAGAAACCAAAAAAACGTTATTAAATTCAAATAAAATGACTGCGGGGGGGGGGAGTCATGGTGGTTTTGAAAGGCTTTTATATGTTACATCCCATATTATTAGCTGATTGCCAGCAAGACCTGAAAACCAAGCCAGTTCACAGCAACCAAACAGCACTTGCAGTTTGAGTGCTGCAAGTGCTTTGATTCCCTCCCTTGATCAGCACTAAATAACAATGGGCCTTTTTGTCTCCCTCTGGGTAGCGGCTGAGACTGATTCTTTCCAACATACACCTAAAGCAGTTGAAGTCTTCTGTGCCTGACCGTGGCCTACATCTCATCCTGTCAGCAAATCAAACAACATCTAACCTGAACGCACACTAAAGCTCACTCCACCTTGTAAATTCCCAGTAATCCCACAAACTTCTTGCAGTCAGGAGCAGTTCACATCCCACCTTCCTAAACTTGCCCTAGAAGCACAGACTGGTTCGGCTCAGAAGGGACCTTCAGGACATAACGGCCCCTGTGTAAGTTTTCCGTAAGCCCCCCCCGGCCGTTCACACCCGGACACAACCCTGGGGAGGGAGGTTGCTCCCTTGCCCTTACCTCGAGAGCCGGGTAGCTGAGCACCACCAGGGAAGCGCAGGCGCTGGTGTCATCTCCTTTGATGTAAGACAAGTCCACGCCTCCCACCCTCTCCAGCCCTGTGAAGCTGGAATCTTTCTGCCACTGCTCGGTGTCCTCCTCAACCACGCTGGCTCTTAACCGGGCCTGCTCCCTGGGAAGCACCACACAGCGAAGGGCTGGGGCCTCCTCCCCGGCCTCCA